TAATAATAAAAAATGACTTTGGTCCTGACAAAACTGGCGAGCGGGCGGCTGCCCGGGCCGGGGGGCACCCGGCTGGTCCACGGCGGGGGTTAAGGCAGTTTGGGGGCATGGGGGGGTCCGGAGGGCCTCAGAGGATCTGGCGGGGCATCCCGTAGCCCGTCATGCCAGCCTGCGAGGCGCCCCGGTTGGTGCCCATCTGCAGCCCGATGACGCTCTGGCCCTCCTTCAGCTTGTCCTCGGAGAAGACGCGCCGGTTCTCCTGCGACTTCCTGCGGGCACAGGAGGTGTCAGCATCCCCACGGGACCCCGCAGCCCGGCCTCCTCCCCCACCTCCAGCAGCCCCACCTACTTGGGGAACCAGTTGGGGTCTCCCACGAAGAGCCCGTCACCCTTGGCCACGGCCAGGCTGCCCAGGTTCATCAGGGTCCTCTGCACGCACGCCATGTTCTTCCCTGGAAGACCCACAGCAGGCTCAGCTCCGTCTCCATCCTCGTCCCTGTCCCACACCTCGGCCTCCAGGTCACTCACCTTCCCAGAGATCCACGGTCTGGAAGATGTCAGTGGCCGCGATGCCATAGCGCTCGGCCGCCTGCAGAAACTGCGAGATCTGCTCCATCTGCTTGAAGGCCATGGCCGACGCCTGGATTTTGGCCACGGGCGCTTGTCCCCGAGGGTGGAGGCTGTTGATGAGCCGGCACAGCACCTGCAGGCAGGGACGGGTCAGGCGTGCAGCACGGTCACTCCCTGCCCCGGCTGGCCCCGGGGGTACTCACCGTGCCATCCTTCAGCCACTGCTGGAAGCCGTCCCTGCCAGGTGCCGGCTGTGCCACCGCGCTGCCGCCGTCGCCGCCACACTGCGCCAGGATCCAGCGCACCAGCACCTGCTCCAGCTCGGGGTCGTACTGCCGGTCGATCTTCTGCTGCACCTCCCGGCTCAGCCCGTAGGAGGGGCCCCGGTTTGCCATGCTGACGGCAGGGGGGTCTGCAGGGATGGGACCCCATCAG